GCCGCGGGGCCGCCTGCTCGCTCAGAGCCGGCGCGCTGCCGCCCGCGCCTCGCCCGGGGCTTCCGGGTCCGCCGGCCATGCTCCACTACTTCCGGGGCGCCGCCGCGCTGCCCTCTGGGAGCTATGGTTCTGGAAGAGCCGCGAGAAGGAGGCGGAGCGAGAGGCCGTCACGCGGGCGCGGATTGGGCGGGGATCCGTGCCTGCCCCGCCCCGCGCTGCGTGTGTGATTGGCCCGCGTGCTCGCTGAGTGACGCACGCGTGGCCTCGCGGTCGGTTGCGTCATCGACTGCGAACGTGACGTCATCACGCGGTTCCCTGGAGCATCCACCTGCCCCGCCCCCTCCTCCCAGCACTCCCGTCCCCCGGGGTGTCGTCACACGGCGGCGTGACGTCAAGGCGCCCCTGTGACGTCACCCTGTTTCATTTCAGCAGCACTGGGACAGCTGTGTATGGCCCCCTGTCCACTATCTTCGGGCTTGCGCATAGCCTCAGTACATTGTAGGTGGCCCTCACGCCCATTGCCAGGTGCGCTCACCCATGGGTGCCAGCTGCGGTGACGGGCGCCGGGTGCCCTGCCACACTCATCCCTCGTGGGCGCGTCCTGGGCTTTCTTCTCCGACCCTTGGGAGACGGGAGCCTGTGGCGCCGGCAGGACCTCTGCCAGGGCTGCCCGGGGTCTGGCAGGGCCTCGTGGCTCCTGGGGCTCGTAACCCCCAGCCTGTCCACGCGTCAGCACCTGAAGCTGGGTTGCAGCACTCGTGGTGGCGTGGGGCTCAGAGCGCCAGGGCAGGGCTCTGCTCCCTGCCACCCAGCTCCTGTCACGCTAAGGGGCGGCCAGTCTAGGTTACACCTCAGTGTAAACACCCCACCCGTCCTGCCCCCTTCTTCCCAGACCCTGGCCCAGACCAGGCCCACTGCCCTCCCCTGGCTCACCAGCAGCTTACTGGTGGCTGCCCCTGGGGGGTTCACCTGCCTGCCCAGCCCCTGCTGCTCTGAGCCAGAAGCTAACCTTCCCGGCCTGCGCCCCAGGGCAGCCACAAGTAAGTAGTGCTCTAGTGAGGGGAAGCCCCAGAGGCAGGGGACTGGGGGAAGCCCAGAAGGAGAGGGGGGGTTCTTACCTTTCAGTCCTCCGGGCCCCCTCTGGCCTGAAGTGTGACCGCTCCAAACCCGAGCCAGCACTGACCCCCATCTATATTTGTGCAGCTCATAGCGTAAGGTGTAACGAGGCCCTAATACCAGGCTCTGGCCTCTTGTCAGTCTGGGAAGGAAAAGAAGGAATAGTAATCGCAGGCACCTCTGCATCATCATCCTGTGCCTGCTCGCCACAGCAACGCATCCTGAGTCACAGTGCCACACTGAACCATCCTGTTGTGTCTCAGCATCGTTGCTTCACGCTGTGACACCCCCTCATGCCCTCATGCAGAGGACAGTCGTTCTATCCGGCACATCAGCATTGCATCAGTGTAGCATCCAGCTGCGTCACTGAGTTAAATCACCTCCATAGCGTCCCGTGCTCCCCTTCAGGAGGCCAGCGCCGTGACATCTGCCTACTGCCCACGTTACAGCTTGGCAGTGTGCTCGGATGCAGCAGCCGCCGTCAGGGTGCCACAGGTGGCTACATAAGCAGAGTGCCAGCAGGGGGCTCTGAGACAGCTAAGAGAAGAGATCATTCGCAGCAGGCAGGCAGAGAAAGGATTAGCTCTTACAGCAGTCCTGAGATAAACGTCAAAGCCAAGCCCAGCTTTCAAGGGACAGAGGTAGGAGAAGGAGACAGACGTAGGGAAAAACAGCTGATGGGGCAAGGAGAGGGACTGGCTCAGTGATTAGTGGGTAAAGCAGGCAACTGGAGTCAGAACCGGCTCTGCAACTGCCCTACTGTGTGACCTTTGGCAAGTCACTTCTCTTCCATGATTCTCAGGTCTGTAAGCTAGAAAGAGACAGGTTAGAGTACCAGCAGCAAAAGCCTGTCACACCAGCAGTATTTACTGATAGCCTCTATGAGTGGAGAGAGCCCTAAACAGATGCCAGTTTGGACAGTGCCCATGAGAGAGCCCAACACTTGGGTCAGTTCATAGGCATCCATTGCTGCAACACCTGCCTGTTCTCTGAGCCCTCCCACGCTGCGTCCAGTGCTCCTCTCAGCCCTTCTATGATGCCTGGACACTGGCCCCAGTGGCTCCCCTGCCCCCTCTCTCTTCTCTGACCTTTGGGAGCTGTGTCAGATGTTTTCTGTGGCCAGAGCCTCGGCAGGCATAAAGGCTTGTGTCTCTGACTCCACTATGTTGATTTATATCCATTTCCTGCCCCTTAGCTGGAGTGAGATAAGGAGGAAACCATTTTAATCTCAATTCAGAGCAACAGAAATTGAACCCCCTCCTCCCCCCAGATGCCTTTCCCAGCCTCATGGCACTAGATTCATTAGTGGTTCCAACTGACACAAGTGATTCAGATATCCTCGGGTTCCAGGAACACAAAGATCTTGGAAGTGGGACCTGAACTGTTCTCCAGATTCATTGGTCAGTCCTTTTGCTAGTCAGCATTTTTGGGGAAGAGATTTCATTCATCGATCAGAGAGGAATTCTCTGGGACTTTCCATTCTGTCATCTGGATGAGTGTGGTGTATGCCGGCCCTCGTCCCGGGGACACAGGCTCTGTGCTTGCCTGACCCCTGAGCACGCTGTGCTCTGTGGTACCTTCTGCCTGCCCGAGTGGTACCTTTTCACTCTGGGCACGACCTGCTGGTATTTCCCAGCTTCCAGGCTAGGGCACTGCATGTCTTTCAACAGATGATCCACATAGCAATGGGGCAGGTTGTGTTAGGGACTGAGGGAAGCCTGCAGCCCCTGCCACAGGGCTGCAGCTCTCCAGTAGGGCAGCACAACTTTGCAGCAGCTTTATCCAGTCTCAGCAGGGATAAGTGATCCTTACCAATCAACCCAGATTTCCTTTCTGTTCTACCATTTGCTCAGGGAAGGAACAGCCCTCTGCCCACTGCAGCAAGTCCCTTCCCGCCCCATGGACTCAGAGCCCCATGTATGGAGGTGATCATCTTATGATTTTGCCTCCCCACTAGGAAACCATATTGGCAGCCCTGTTGGTCCTAACTCATTTGTTTGGAAAGGAGAGTGACTTCTAATCAACAGGCCTGATGAGTCTCCAGGCAGCACAAGGAATACAATAACTTTCCACCTTCCTAAAGGAAACTCCCACCCAGCTCACGTGGCAGCGGAGCGAGCTGCCCCAAGCTTCTTTTCCTGCCAAAACACAGCATTTGCAATACACAGTGGAGGGAACAATCCTGCACTGGCCCCAGGGGATGGATAGGATGTGTCCGAACAGGCTGCACCAGTCTCTATGACGCCAGCTATGGGGACACCTGCCTGCAAGAGAAAAGGATTCCACAATTCTGCGCTGTGCTGGGATGTTCTGTGCTGGCAAAAGTCTTCTCTGTCCTTTGCTTCCTGAAACAGCCCCTCGAGCACCCCCCTACACAGTGATTTGCCATCACACCAGTGGTACAAAACCCTTTTGACCCCCGCGGTAGAGGATACAGTGCACCATTGACATTAGACCAGTTCTACATCAGAAGCTTCTGCCGCTGCAGTAATGTTGCTTCTGGATAATCCCGATGCTGATATCCAACTGGTACAGCTTATTTAATTCAGAGAACTGCTGGAACAGGAGAGCTGGCCCATTCAGCTACACAATCAGAACATTTCTAGTGTGGACAAGGCCTTATCTAGGAACAGTTGCCTTCTAGCAAGAGCAAGGGGACTGGGTGTCTGCACTCCTGTTCTATCCTGCCTCTGCCCTGGGGCTGGTCAGAGACTCAGGCAAGTCGCTTAGAGGAAAATTTTCTATCGTGGCCTTTGCAGGAGGCCTTTGTGCCTGATGTTTACTGGTGTTCCCCTTTCGCTCCTAGCAAACTAGAGAAGACAACATTTCCTATCTGTCTCCTGTTTGGAGGCCTGTGGATAAAACACGCTCAGCTGTGCTGGGAAGGAATCTGCTCATGACAGAGTGTGTGCGTGCCTTGGAGAGGGTACCGTGAAGGACACAGGTAGCTGCTGACCCACTGTCATGAAGGCCAACTGTCTGGCTTGGTGGTCCTTGTGATGTCTGCGGAGACAAAGAGCTGTGTGCACACAGAACAAGTAGCTCCCCTGAGCACGGCCAGCTGATAAAGTGTGTGTTTATGAGTGACTGTCCAAGGGGAGGGAGCACAGTGTGCAACTCCCCTGACAGTCATGCTCTAGCTGCTGCCCACACCCTCACTGTGCCGGTGAATCACCACCTTGCAGGTCTCTGGGCAGCTTGTTGGGGCCCATATCACCAAATTCAGTCAGCTCCAAGAGAGTTCATTGTTATGCAGGGGCAAGCGCTTGTCGCCAGAGCTGCTTTGCTCCATCCTGTTGTATCATTTCCCCATGTCAGGGGCCGGGGACTGGATTTCTTCTACGGCCCCTGGAGAGTTTGGCAGGAAGCGACACGGTAAACAGGAGCAGACAATGAGCAGAGGCTGTAGGGGGGAGGCAATGCTCTCAAATTTGCTTCGAGAAACAGAGAGCTCAGTGTAACAACCCTTGTGCCGATGCAGAGCTCAGGGAAGTGGCGGACTGCCAGGGCCGTGGCTCTGCAGTTGTCTGCTTAACCAGACAGCAGGTACGGTCAGGCACAAGCAGTGCAAGTTGAAGCTCTGTGACCTCCCTGCCACCAGCTTGTACTGCAGAACCACATGGGTCCTACAGCCACCCAGACAAGCGTGAACCGAGATGTAGCTCTCAGGACCCCCAATCAGAGCACCACCCTGCTGCCTCCGCACCATCCCAGCAGGAGATGCAGACATCTGCTCACGAGGCTGATGTGAACTATGACAAAGCAATCGCACCCCCCGGTTCTCTGGCCTTTCACGGCTTGCTTCACTCTGGGTAGGTAACACGGGGCCCCTGAATCCAGAGCGAGCATGTGAGTCAATAACAGTGGGGGGAAAAAGCTTGTTGACAAACAGGGATATCATCCATCAAAAATCAATCTTGCCTTCAGCTCTGAGTGATATGCAGACAAATAACCTTCCATTAATTTTTCTGTAGCTTTTGGCAGCTGTTTAGATTTGGAGGCTGAAGGGAAAGATGCCATCAATCGTTCTCATACATGGGAAAGGTCCCTGCAGTGCATCCGCTCCTCATTTACTCCCCTCACTTGATTAATGCGCCCCGTAGCAGTGACATACACATAGCGCTGCCCCTGAGTCCTAGAAACATTAATATGTTTGAAAGCCCAGAACATACCAGGACTATTGTATCAAGTCACCGGCACTGTGTACCCAGAAAGCAGAATGGAGGGTGTTCTCCTGAAAGCATGGGTTTGGGATTCAGGAGGTCTGGATACAAGTCCCAATTCTGCTACAGATTCCCTGTAGGACCTTGGGTAAGTCACCAAGCCTTTCTGTGCCTTGGCATTGGCACTTATTTGCTGCCTCAACAAAAGCATGGTAGAATTAATTCCTGCTTATCAATCATCCACAGACCAAAGGTGTTATAGAAATGCAAAGCCCTTTTCCTGTTTACAAGGTAAATTGAACCCAGCAGAGCTGACAGACGGGCAGGACGAGACAATATGTGTCCAGTAAAAGAACCAGACAGGATTCCAGGGGCTGCAAACACCACACATCCCAAAGTGCTTTACAAAGGGATCAGGGATGTACAGGGACAAACACCAAAGCACAGGCTGTCTCTAATGGGGAATGAGCCTCTGTCTGACCAGCAAGAGCTTCTTACTAAGCCTGAATGATATTGTACAGGCCCTGCTCCAACTCCTGTGCTCTGGTCCCTAGATTGCCCACACCCCTCAGTAACACATTCCCCGGCGCTCACCCTGAGGTTTCCCTCCTGGCCCTGCCAGGTTCTGATGCAGCATGGGAAATGCTAATCGTGTTACAAGCCTTTTCAAGCTGTGCCAGCCCAGCTGCTCCTCTGCAACTGTGCATGTGTTGGGCATTGCCTGACAAGCAAGGAGACTGCAAGTGGCTTTCCCAGCAAACCGGCAGGGAGAGGGAACAGCCATGGCCTTCCGCTCCCTCTGGAGGGAGTTCAGGGTCTGGGGCAGATGGAGGAGCTGCCCACACCGGGCCCCTTTTCTTCCCATGCCCCATACCAAGTCCATACGAGGTCCTCCCCACACTCCAGGCCCTGTGCTGTTCAGCAATCACTCAGAGCCAAGGAACCCAACCCAGCAGCCGCCTGCCCCAACAAGCATCTGAGTCCCAGCTGCGGGGCCCTGCAAAACGGAGCCTCCACACAGCACAGCCGGTCCCAACCAACTCAAGACAGTGCCTCTTCAAGGTCCAGGCACAGCCTTTCTGCAGACCACACCAGCCTTCTCCCCTGCCCATGCCATGCTGCCCCCCTTTCACCATCTCAGTCCTCTCTTCTCACCACCACTGTCCATGGGCATCAACTGGTCCCAGCCTTCAGGAACGCACCTTTGGCATGGAAGGCATGTGAGGGGGGGACATCAGGACCAAAGGAAGGCTTCTGGGGGTTCCCAATCTCTAATCGAGGCACTGACCCCCACCTGGTCTGTCCCCTGGGACAGCTGGGTCTGCAGGAGCTTGCACCACTACATTTCCATCATACCCTGTGTAAATGTCCCTCCCAACCAACACCATTTCCGAGGCCCAGAATGGCTCTGGCCTCGAGCACGGCTCTGATCTGCACCAACCCAGACTGGGTTTACAGAGAGCAGGAACCTAATTTCACCCCCTCGGCCTTTTCTCCATTCACAGTCAATAGGTCTCCCTTTCACCCACTGGGGTCCTCCCTGTCCAGCTTGCATCTCCAGGCCCTCCCGCTCTTTCTGGGTGAGGGGTGCCGGATGCCATGCTGCATTTCCAGGCAGCATTCCCAAATTGGCTGCTGCCCTCTAGTCAGGTATCCTTTAAGCTGTCCGGCTAAGCCTGAGAGATCTAGCCATGGTGGGGAAAGAAACAGGCGCTTCCATCTCATCAGGACCTCTGGGATGTTGCAGAGCGCTCCCTCAGATCACAGAGCTGTCCTGGTGATGCCTCTGGAACCAGCCTCCCTCTCTGCCTCCCACGCAGCTCCGTGTCTG